TTTATCTTTATCCTGCAAATGTGCCCACTGTAGTGGTCGTGTAGTAATGTGTGATATGTTTTCAGCAAACAGAATCATGTCCTGTGATTATGGAAGGCATGAAGATTTTCATTTCTTAGCCCAGGGTGTTGTTTTCTTCTAACGTGATTGGCTGTTGAGGTCCCTTGGCCTTTTAAAATGTATGTCCACCTTTTCCCCACACCTGGGCAAGCTCTGCTAGGCTTCCTTGTGTGTATTGATGAGCATTCATTTCCAGTGACCCTGGCCATCGTTAGCCTCCTCTCTCTGTAGGTCATTTGTTTGCGTCCCTACAACATAATTAATGAAGTGATAAGGAAATGTCTGTCATTTTGAGTCATTTGCCTGCAGATTTTTAGGGAAAAAGTAAGCCTTCCTCCTGTGTCTGCAGCAGCGCCTCAGATCCTCTTGGTAGCTGCCTCCTCTCTGCCCGTCCCCTGACTCTTCCCTCTTCCCTAGGAGCCTGTCCTCCACCTTTTCTCTGGATCAGTCCGTGCAGCCTCCTGATTTTACCCCTGTTCATTCACGTGCTTATGCAGCTGCTGCCTCTTGACCATCCTTGGACAGCTCAATTCGAGCAAATCCCTCACCGAATTCATCATCTGTAGCATCACCAGCATCACCCCAACCCGTGTGTCCCCCTACTGTCCTTTTGTGGTTCACTCTGTTGACTGAGGACCTGCCTCTGCTCCTCATCTTCCCCATGTCCTTAGCAAAGCGACACGTCCTGAGAACTCTGCTTTGACACCATTGGAAACCCAGTTCACCCTCTCCTAGCTCTAGACTGCAGGGCTGCCCAAGACTGTTGTAGTGACATCCTCCATCTATCTTCAGTACCAGCTTCCAACACCTCACTCACCTGGCTTGGGAACTGTTCCCAGTGCTGGGTGCACATTTAATCTTCTTGGTGACCCATTTTGCCATCATGATACTTATCACTTGGTATAGTTACTGCCTGCCTATTTTGCCCTCTCTCCCCACTGGACATTAAACACTGCGAGCTTGGGATCCTCTCGGAATCCTGTCCCCCGGGAATGACACAGCCAATGCCACACGGAAGGCACTCAACAAATACTTCTTAGGTGCTGTTGAGTGTTAGTTTTTAATCTTGCTAATATTTTAACTCTAAAAAACAAATGGAACAAAAGTATAAATTTATAAATTGCATAAAGACAAAATCTGGTCGAGGCTTACATTTCTGACTCCATCGTGGCTTTATTGAATGCTTTTGATGAAACACAGTTTTCTCACTATAACGTGACCGTGCAACACTCATCACTGCTGAGCACATGGGAGAATGACAATAGCACCTTGGATTTATGGCCCCTAAGAAGAAGCAGCTCTTATGAATTATATATTCGTTTGACATCCCTCTGGGATACATGTGTACCTTTCTTTCTAGAAGGTAACAAAGAGGGACATAGCCCCCTTCAAATAATGAAAAACCCTGGCCTTGAAATGGTTACTGGCTACTACTGAGAGTGTCTGGAGGCTTTGGGAAGTTGTCTTCCGCCTCTCAAGTTCTCAGGTGAGACAGTGGGTGTGTAAGGTAGTACATATTACACACTTTGCATGTCTTGTTCCTTTAGAATTCAAAATATTTTGGGGTGAAAGTATGATCAAATTATTTCAGTATTTCAGCCTCTTCTGGATCTTGTCTCCATGTTTTTTGACAGACACATTTTTTTCTCCACACCCACGCCAACCATCTGTGTACCAGGCAGATTTTCTGAGATGTAAAACCACGTGAAATGTGTCCATTTTATTTATTTAGAAAGGGCTATGACTCATGGTCCTGGGGAGTGGGGTCACAAAGTTAATGAAGAAGTGAGCTCGCTTTGTGACTAGCCTGGGACGCCTAGCAGTTACTGTCACAGAAAGCTGCATCCTAAAGGTAAATATTCAGCACTGGGCTTTTCAGACTAACTCCTGCAAGCAGGGCACATTGGCTACCTGGGAGCTGGTGGTGGCCCCATCAAATGATACTATTTTAAAATGTATGCAGACTTACATTCTACCCCAGAAAACAGTGCTGTAAATAAAAATGTTTTAAAATATTTACCATAAAAATTGACTGTTCAGGAAAATGTGTCATGTTGGTGACTGCCTTTAGGCACAAGCTGGGCCGCCAGTTATACCCGTAGGGGTAATTTGTCACACTCTGAACGGCTCAGGGTGTTAGGATGGCGCAGCCCAGACCAAGGCACTTTTGTTTAAGCTGAAAGGAATCTTTTTGCACATCTTCTTTCTCCTTTGCTACGTGAAACCTACCAAGTCCTTTAGGAAACCTTGAAAGCGTCTCTGTAAGTAGCTGGTTAGAAGCATTTTCACAGTGAAGCTGAGTAAGAAATACAGATCAGCATGGCTAGCGGGGGTCAGGTGGATGCCTTCTGCAGGGAAGAAACAGTCTGACCTGAGAATTACAAATGTACCTCCCGTTTTAGGCCTCATCCGCCTCAGAACCCAAAGCAAGTAGGATGACAATGATCCAAATATGTACTGTGTTTATAACAACCTGCCAGAGTGGAAGCCATTGATAAAAAATCAAAAAACAGTTATAAAACTCAGTATTTTATTTGGGTGTGCATTTTGAAAATACATTGACACAGCAAGCTGCTCATGCTCAAATATAAGAAACGACTTATTTATACATTTAAATTTCAGAACACTTGTAAGGGCTACCATGTGTGCTGTTAAAAGGTTTTTAATTTAAAATTATTCTCTTAGATAATCGTGTCTCAAGTGACATTGTGATTTATCACCACTAATCAAGATTCTGATCCCCCATAGACATCTTGTTTGTATCTGTTTTTGTTCTGTGTTACATAAATACGAGGTTTCTGTATAAAATTCGGACTGTGTAATATAGGGCTAATGAGTCACAGATGGAGACATGCTGGCACATTACCATCTAATAACGTTTTAAACTCATATTCCATAGTAAAACAAAAGCAAATTGTACACATCTGTTTTCCAACTTGTAGTATTTCTGAGTTTCTCCAGAGTCTGTGTTTGGAAGGCTTTTACTTAGAGAAAAGAGAAAGAGGACATAGGTCACTTCAAACTACGCAGCCACTTAATAGCCTTATCAGAACAGATTTGGCCAAAGGGAGCCGGTTTCCTCCACTTGGCTTCCTGAAAAGTCGTAGTGCTCAAGAACAGGAATGAAAGGCATTGGGGTTAAAAAAAAAAGTTCATAGGACAAACTTTACTTTATTGGCTCTGTTAAAAAGAAAAGCATGTCCCTAACATGGGGGAAAGGAAAAGGAAAAATATCCACAGAATGAATAAAATTAAAAACTCAAGAAACACCTAGGTTTCCTGAAACTATCCTCAAAATAGAATTGGGTGACAAGACAGGACGCCTGAGCAGAGACCCTCAGGAATCAGGGGCTGCGAATCTCTGTGGTTGTTGTTTATTTGTAATGTAAATACGTTCTGTGTTTAGAACAAAATTGGAATGAAAGGCTCCAATTTCATGCTCCTTAGAAGAGAAATACAGAATCAAGGCAGAATTTCGCTCTGACTTACACAACTGATATCACAGATTAAATACAAGTCTCAAACACATCTCTCCAGCCTTGGTCCTGGTTGAGGAATTCCACACCACTTTTCTGCCTTCAAGGGTTCATGGGAACCGTCAAGCCCTTTTGGAAAGTTAGGTGACAGAAGTGGTTACCACAGAGTGGAACCGTGAATCCCCTGAGGTGAAATACACCTGTGAGCAGAGACCATTCTCCCCCCAGCACTGGGGGAATTCTCGAAGCAAAGGGACTTGAGAGTCTTGGGAGGGCTAGAGGGAGACACTGGAGGATGTGTGTAGGAAAGTAATATTTGGGGAAGCATTTCATTTATTCTGATCTAACAGTAGGATTGGGTTCACTGTCACTGCCCACAAAATAATTAACACATGTGTCCTGTGCTGTGCATTGTAAACAGAGCGCTCACGGTGTCTGCAGCGATCTGCATTTTGTATTAACATTCCTTGAAGAAAGTTTTGTGTTCAGGGCGGCAAAGTCTGCCCACCAGCGTGTGCGCAGACCCTACCATGCCCGCCACGACAGGACAGTGGCAAATTCCATGTCCTCCCCATGCTCAAGACGGTGGCAGGAGCGCTCAGCTAGCTCACGGGCGCCTGAGTCTCGCGCCAGGAGAGGCAGGTGTTAGGCGTGTGCTTGCTTTGTTTGTCCCCTAGTGGACTGTCCATGTGACGTTCTGTGTCGTGTTGTTTTGGTGCTGTGCTGTGTCCTTAGGGCCTGCCGGGCTTCCCCACGGTCGCTGCCCTGCACAGTAATCAGATCCTCACCGTCAAGGTTTGTGGTTGACTCTCAGCCTGTGGGGTCAGAGCCACAGTCAGCATAAGAGAAGCAAGAACCCTTCAGCTGCCATGCCCAGCCCAGTCACCGCCTCTGGTGGTGACATCAAACCATGGTCGGGGTGCTGGGAACCCACCTGCATCAACCCCAGGGAAGTTGCCGGCCTTGGGCTGGCACAGCCCCACTGGGACTGTGCCACACCCCTGCCTTGGTGTGCATGCATTCTAATCGGTGATGTTTTCAGCCATTTGGTAACCCCAGGGCTCAGGACCAGAGCGTCCACTGCAAGGCAGCTGGGTTCCTGCCACTTTATGCTGGCTGGCGAGTCTGACACCAACGGAACTGGCACTGTATCTGCCCGCTCTGCTGGGTGGGGCACATAGGGTCACCCCCACTCAACACCCACGGCAAGATGATGGGGTACAGAAAAGATTGGCTTCCAACGAAAACTCTGGTCTCACTCTGGCATTCAAGGTCCCCCCTACCCCCACCTCCCTTCAGGAAGACCCAGTGGGTCCATCTCAGATGCAGTGCCGGTTCCGTTCTGTTCAATGATCACTGTAATCTAACGTGCGTGTCTTTATTTCTTTCTTGGGGCCTTCTGATGTCTATTCTTCAACTCTCTCACCTCTGAACTTCAACCTTTGACCTCACCTGACTGATCAGATGGTGTTTCCTAAAATCAATCATGGCTTTCTCTCTGCTGATCAGCAGCTCATTAAACGCCGCCTGATTAAGGTAGTGCTTCCTCTTGCTGGAGTCCAAGAGTTCTTCTTTGCATTCATTATTGCTCTGGGGACTATTGCTTTACTGTTTACTTCTTTCGAGGGTGTTGGAGGGGGCCTGGCATGGGAGTGGGGCGGGTCTTTAATTTGCAAATATCTTAGAACCAATTTTTATTTGATGAGCTGCATTTGAAATGTATGCAAAAGTACCAAAGTAAAAAGACATCAAAATTTTACATTTTAACTAGTAAGAACTCCAATTTCTAATTTCGCTAGCCTTAGTTATTCACAAATTACGCAGTCTGCCCAGAACTTCATTTGCCTCCTTTTGTCGGCTATGGAAAGTAAATATATTTGTTGAGCTACAAATGCAGCCATTTATTTATTAAGCAGTGACTATAACGCATACCGAATTGCTGCAGATAAACTTATAGAAAGTTTCCTACTGGGTTTGCAGCTAGTGGTTGCACAGCAGCAGGCTGGCTTGGGCTGCTCTGGCTTTAATAGCATCTCAGCTTTGCCCAACATGAATATTTATTTTGCTCCCTGCTGGCAGGTAAATTGCTTGCAGGCTTCCATTTCTGGTTCCTCTCAGAGTGTGAATGTGGATTAGATAATGGGGATGCAAAGTGTTGAAAAAAAGACCTGGGGATTTGTCTCTCCTGGTTATTGTTGGTCTGTCCCCTTCTCCATTGCAGGGTGACCAAGGGCAAGCAGGGCCTCCCGGACCCCCAGGCCCTCCAGGTCCCAGAGGACCACCAGGGGACACCGGGAAGGATGGCCCCCGCGGGATGCCAGGAGTGCCCGTGAGTTGTTTTGGGGTCTGTGGTCGTGGGTTTGAGAATCAGGGTGGGGCAGGATAGCAAGCGCTGTGGAACCAAGGGGTCACACTGGCAGCAGGCATGGAGAGCAGAGGGGCGGCAGGAGAGTCTCCAAGCGTTTTGGGGCCCTGCCAGCAGGGTGCCACGCTCCCTCCATCCACGGGAGCCCACGCAAACTCCAAACACCTGGACAGGTGAGCCAGGAGGACTTCCGGTCTGGGGACCCCCATCCTACATCTGCCTCAAGGTAGGCTTGAGCCTTGGGTTTTGGGGGAAGATAACTTTGGGAAAGGAAGTAGTCAGCTGGTAACAAGTTGCAAAAGGCCCAGAGCAAACACAGCAAAGTTTCTTGCTATTTCTGGAAAGTAAAGATCATGCAGCTTTCCAATATTTAATTCTTTGTACATAATTTAACCAAAAAGTAGCTAATAAAAGCAGTAGCATTAATGGTTAAAACAGTGGGCCTGATTTTAATAACACTTGTCCCTGTGATATAATAGGATGGGATGGAGGTCATATTAATAGACATCAATTAAAGTGCCTTCAATACTTAGTTACTGAGATAAGTATCAAAGTACAGGACAGTAGATAAATGGCTCAGTAGAAGCAACCCAGCAATTTTTGGAGATAACATTCTTAAAAACCCCTTTCCCTCGCTGGGATCCGCTGGGAATTAGCTCATAGGAGAGGCGGAACCAGTTCTCCACATGCCACTGACTGTAGTTCTGAGCCTCTGAAGTAGTGATTTAACCCTAAAACTGCTCGAATCTCAGCATTTCTCTGGGTGATACCTTCCAGGAGCGAGAGGCCCACTCCTCTGGTGATATTTGAAGTGTTTTCATTGATTGCTAGTTGTTAGCAATCGATGGTTCTTTGGGTTAGTTAAAAATATTTTGATGCCACAGAATTACTCAGATCATTGAGTATTGTAGACAATAACTGAAATATAACTTAAGATAGAAATTACTTTTAAGAAACAAAGATAAAGGTAAGGCATGACAAGCAATCCAAAATCACACTGCCCTTTATATAACTATAGTTTTATTTGTTTAAGAAGTAGAGATTTTTACACAAAGAACAAGTTAACCTCTCTAAAAAGAGATTCTATAAATAGAATTTGAACTTGATTTCTGGTCTTGAAGTTAATTTATACATGCTATCATAATCACTAGAAGGTATAATCCCATTTTAATCTGAGTGTTAGATGATAGTGATATAACAGATTTTTCTGTATCGATTTTATTTAAACAAGGTACTTCAGTATTGGTTCCTAAGTACCAAATTTTAAAATCAATTTCTGCACCTTTTATTCTTTCATTCCCACCCTGAGAGCAATTGTTTGTGTCCTACATAAGAAACTCCTGAGTTCTCATAGAGGAGACCCACGCCATCATCTCTGTGTTCTTATAAAGAGGATGAGATCGTGTCCTCGATGGCAGGAAACAGGGAGGGATACAGACATGGTGGAGATGGGCAGGGGCCTGGGAAGGGGACCTCGGCTGGAGAGAGAGGAGGTCCCTCAAACAGGGATGCTCTGTGGACTAGGTCCCCCAGGTACTGTCATTGTCACATGTTACAAACAAATGCCAATAAAAATCTACAAATAGACTATTAAATCCTAAGATATTTATAAAATTTATTTGAAGAAAGGATAGCAGATCTCTAAATTCTGTAATGTTTGTGTTCTTTTATTTAACCAAAAAAGAAGTGCTTATTTATAGGGTGTGGGGAGTATTAGAAAAGATAAAAATTGCTATCAGGGACCTGGCCTAGACCTCCAGTGTCCCAAAGGAGTGTACAGCAAAGGCTTAAGTAAGTGAGATAAGTGGTGTGATTTTAGGGCTCCAGGAGAATCACAACCTTCTGCAGAGTTCAGGGCCTCTGGTGGCTAACACAGAGGATGCCTCTGGGCAGCCTGTATTTTTTTTTTTTCCAAAGAAAGGCAGGAAACTGAGCAGACCTTGGGAGCGGTTCAAGGACTTTGCAAGTAACCAATTATGTTAGCAAGGAGAGGTATCTTAGGAGATCTCCATGTTGCATTTCACTACAGGGGTGAAATGCCTGTGGCTAAAGTCTTTATTTAGTCAACTGGAGTTGGAGCCAGGTGTCCTCAGCTGTTATCTTGCCCTGGCCATGCAGCAGCCCTGCAAGTGTGTTCAATTTCCAGTTTCAGTGGCTCCCAAAAAATTGCTAATATTATCCCTATTCTTTTTTCAGGGCGAACCAGGGAAACCCGGAGAACAAGGCTTAATGGCAAGTATCTTCATTTATGTTATTCAATACTAAAAATCACAGGGAACCAGGATATTAAAAACTATAGTGGAGATAACATGTGACAATTGTGTCTGTCATATGAACCATAACAAAAAATTCATGCGAGTGCAAGAGTACCGAGCCTGGTTGCTGCACACTGAAGGCCATGGGCTCGGCTGCAGCACATAGATCCAATGCCATGCAGGAGGAAAGCAGGGTCCCGGCCAGGGACAGGATGGGAGATGGTGCTTTGCAGCTCCACCAAAAGGGGACCTTATGTGGGGACAGCAGACCAACTGCCACAGGGCCCAGTGTGACTGAATTAACACACGAAGGCTTGCTCGGGTGCAGGATGTTTTTGTATTGTGAAATCTCTGCCCAGGGAGAGGCAGTCATGCCTTTTGGACCTGTGTTAAAAGGCCATGAAATGATTTAATATGGACTGGGGGTGACACCCCATTCCCTAGCCTCTGCCAGTCAAAGAGATGAGAAGACTGTCCCTGCTTCCTCTCCTGCCTCTTCCTCTCCGTCTCGCAAGCTGCCCTCTAAACCCACTCTACACTTGGAGCTGCTGGGAAGCCAACAGAAAATCTCTTCCCAAATGCCAGAGGATGCTCACACCTGGCCAGACACCTGGCCAGGGCATCGGTTTGCTCCATGATGTGTGGTTCACAGCCTGCAGGGGACCAAGAGATAAAATTGATTTGAAAACTGCCTAGCTAGGACCTAGGAAAAGGCATACACGAAAGCACAGCAGTGGCCCACCCAGCCAGCCACGTCTGTACCTGGGATGACAGCGCTGGGGACCAAATCTCACCCACTGCCTTGAGGCACTCTGTTCCTGTCCACTGAGACCAGCATGGACATTTGACGTACGTACATTATTTTGGGTACCATCATGAATTAAAAACAAATGAGGACAAAGAAGAAAACATTTGTCATCAGTGGTGACTGCAATGCAAAAGCAGCCTTGACTGCTGGGACTGCGAGCCACATAAGTAGGGAGGGTTCTTGGAAACTGTGGTACAAATCACTTTACACAGTTGCCTGCCCCTATCTCATCCTTCCCGGAAAATCGGCAGAATGGATTCCTCTCATTTGCACCTGCTTGGGGTTCTCAGGAAGCTTGTTTATTTTCAGCCAACTCAGGTTCTTATTGCAGGCTTTGGCCTCCTACCCTGACACTCAGCTCAGCCTCCTTGTGTATGACGTTCCAAAATGAAGTGGGTATTATTCTAAAAGTCATATGCTCCTCTCCCTTGAATTTATATGTACTCTTGTGGATGCACTAGATGAATAGCGACAAAATCCCATTTCCTGTGATTCCTAGTTTTGGGGGGTATTTTGGGTTGTTGTTTTGGGGTTTTGCTATATTTATATGCTGAAAATTGAGCCCAGGGCCTTGCCTATGCCAGGCACACCTGCAACACTGAGATATGCCCAATTCTTAGTTTGAGTCACTGAATACAAATATTTTACATGGTTCAAAATTGTGTTAGTATCATAATGTGCTTTGATTTCCCACTTCATTATATATGGGGGAAAAAACCTTTTTAAAAAAAATTTGGTTTTTTATTTGTAGGAAGTGAACCCAAGGCTTATGCATGCTAGGCACGCCTGTACTACTTAACTACTGCCCTAACCCCCTTTTAATTTTTTTTTTGAGACCACTAGGTTTCACTAAGTTGCCCACATTGCTCTAGTATTTGAGAATCCTCCTGCCCCAGCGTCCTGAGTAGCTAGGATTAGAGATGTGTGCCCCTGTACTTCACCTCATTTTAAAAAACCTTTCATAGCTGGGTATAACAATCATGTCTACCAGCCCAGCACTTGAGAGGCTGAGATAGGAAGATCACTGCAAGTTTGAGCCCAGCCTGAACTATATAATGAGTTCAAGATTAGCCTGAACTACACTGCAAAATCCTGTCAAAAAAACAACAAAACAAAAAATCCTCTTTCAATGCACCTAATACTGGTTATAAATTCTATAGACCTTTTCTTCTTTTTTAAACTCCAGATTTAGTTCATATTTTTTAAATGAAATTAAAAACAAACCTAACAATGTATAGACCATATCAATAAGCAGACCATTACCCTAAGCCCCTCCCCAGTCCTCATCCCAAAGGGAACTCCAGTCCTTACTAATGTCACCCTAGATTAGGTTTGCCTGCATTTGAATTTTGTATTAATTGAATCATACAGTATGTACACATTTGTGTCTGGCTTCTTTCTTTCAGGGTTGTATTGTGAGATTGTCCACCTCTGTTTAATAGCCTTCACAGCTGGTTAAAAAAAAATAGGAAGAACCTTACTTCCTTGACTACCCTGTTAAAACTACATCAGTCAGAGCAGTGAATGAATGCTTGTCTGTCTGACCTTGGGCAAGTCACTTAACCTCCCAATTTCTCATCTGTACAGAAAGGATAATACCCTCTCTGCCTGCCTGAAAAGGTCACCAAACACAAATGCAATAAATTAGGGGGAAGCACTTTCCTATCTATAATGAAGAACGATGTGAGCATGTTATTATTATTATCACTCGGTCATTTCCTCCGAGTAAATTACAGGTGAGCCAGCATGAATTTCTATAACAGATGTATTCCTGTAAAGTTGTATAGGAATCAGATTTTCATAAATCACTGTACTTTAAATGTGCTGAGGAATTTTGCAATGAAAGCAATCCTGTTCCAAGTCTGTCTTCCTCCTAGCAAACTCAATTTCTGTGGAGTGTATTGGTTACTAGAAAAATTGTCTAAAAAAGTTGTCATTCTTTTTTTTTAAAAAAAAATCACTTTTCTTTTGCTTATTTACATGAATAGTGCCTGTATACCTTAGCTCATCTCAAAGAGAGATGATACTGAAAATTGTAATTTTCATAAATTTTTCTTTAGAAATTTCTTTTCAAATGTTTGTGTGTATGTGTTTGCATGTGTATGTGTATGTGAACTCAAAGTCCAGTAACAGGAAAAATTCATGGTAGCAATAACTATTGACTTGGGATGAGTTTTAGGGGTATATGATTATACCCTGAACTCCTTTTTACTGATCTGTAAGATGTAGGTAATGGTTCCTGTTCTGTGTATCTCAGTGTATCATGGTGGGAAGCAAGTGAAATATGAATGTGGTATATTCTATGAACTAGAAAGAATTCCATAAATAAGTATTATGGCCAAGACAAATGTCCTGGAGTATCACAGTGCATACAGGAAGGCCCCAGTATGAAATGTCAGGGCCAGCAGCTGCTGACGAGCTCCCAGTGAAATCAAAGCATGTTAAGTACTGGAGTTGACAGAGTGCTGTGTGTGTGTGTGTGTGTGTGTGTGTGTGTGTGTGTGCGTGCATACACATGTGCATGTGTGTTCCTATTTATTGTTGTAGTGGGTGGTGGTTCTTTGCCTTCCTTGTTCTTTTGTCTATCAGATCACCAGTTTTTCATGGTGCTCCCCGTCTTGCCTAGCAGCTAAAACAGAGAGTGTTGCCAAGCCCCCCGCTGTCACCTGTCCACCTGATGCAAACGCACTGCATTTGTTGCTTTGTGCTGTGCGAGATGCATGCTTAGGTGCCCAGGGCCGTAGGAGGCGTGGGAGACACTTACAAATTTAAAATATCTCTCATGGCAGAACCAGAAAGTGCAAAACAACCTCAAACTAGCTCTTACAAAACTGTTTATGAGTGGGTCAGGTAGGGAATTAGTTTTCATAATCCAGGATAGTTTATATAGCAAAAATAATCATTGGGAGATTAGCAGTGTCAGTGATGCAATAAAATTGAAAAGCTCCAGCAGGTCCACGTTTATTTAATCCTGCCGCATGTTGCTCTGTCAGTGTGACCTTGGGGTTTTCCGAGAAGTTCAGGATGAGATTTTAAAAGACAGACCTTTGAGCTTGAGTGAATTTGATTCCATCTAAGTCGGAGCAGATCCACTCTATTTTGCAAAACCAGACCCAAGAGTAAAAGCCAGGGCTCGCCTCTCTCAGAGGTGCCCTCGAGTTACGCTGCCTTCTGGCACATCTTGGCCTTCCAGTTCTTCCGAATCTTAAGCAGTTGTTAAAATAGTATTTTTGAAGGTATCTTTCCTTTAGCTATTCTTGCCGCTTCCTTAGGAAATGCAATAGGTGCTCTCAGAGATATGAAAAATAGAAGTATTTGTAATGCACCAAGTAGTCCCAGTTTCTGGGTATTATTTTTGGTCGAAGGTGTCTATTTTCCAAGGCTTCAAAGAACAAACCGCTTTGCTTACTCTGAAGCTCCTTTTTTCTTCCCTTCCTCGGGCTCCAGATACACTGCATAGCATGTCCTTTCATGTCTTTCTGAATATAAAAATACATTTTACGTCTTGGGCCTTGATAGTATGTGGAAATTCAAAACTCAAAAGGGTCATCCATTAAGGCGAAACTTGAGCTGAAGAATTTATAGATATTTGAGCTTTAGTTTTGCCTGTAAACCTGTTTGTGACATCTGCACCATGTGAATATAATGGTTTTTTTTAAAGTTAATAACATAAGTGTAGATAATTCCTTTGCTTCCTTTAAAATTGCAAATAGTAAGTGAAGACATGCTTTCATGCTTTTATAACTCATTGCTTAGTAAAACTCAGCATTTTCTTTGGTGGCCCTTGATCCATCTTCTATCTTGATCAGCAGGTGGCAGATATTGGAGACAGCAGCAGACTCTGCCCGCTGATTTGGATCTAGCAGAGAAACCCCCTACCCTTGCACGGCACCAGTAACAAAGATGATGCACATCACTTTAGCATAGCAACAAGACTGGATCTCAGCCTCACTGCTGGCAAGATCTTACGTCACATACCCTGCCCCCTGGGATGCCTTAGCAACTGTCCTAACACTTCTGTTCTGACTACAATGCTTCTTATCCTCTCTAATCTGATTGCCCGTGAAGTACATATAAGCGTCCCACGACAGTGCCCTTCTACCTCCTGGGTATCTTTGTCCCCAGCCTGTAGTGCTTTGTTTTCCAAATGAACCAAGAGAAAGTTGACA